GGTGTAGGAAGAAATGTTTTTTTAATTGACAACCTTTTTTCTGAATTCTCTTATTGAATTTAAATTAAAGTGGCTTAAATACTTTTTATCAGGTATGTTAGTTTTAATAACAGTATCTAACTATTATTATTTTGAAACCTAAGGGCCATGTTAGGTTATGGAGTTTCTTTGAGTGCTTCTCCATTCGAATCTACACTTTGGAACGAGCACCTAGCTTCACTGACGAACTGACTGACGTATTATTTTCTATTTTGACGTTTCAAAAGTACCTGTTTATGGTTTAGTTGCAATTATTGTTCTTGACTTTGATTTTGTTTTTTTTAGAACTGTGTTTATATTTTATAATCTTTCGTTAGTGGTAATAAAAGTCACAATAAAAGACCAGTAAGTGCCCGAAAGCCAACGTTCGCTTCGGTTTTGATGGATTAAATTTTATAATTATTTTTAACTTACTTCAATTTGTGGTGGTTAAAAGAAATAAATAGAACAATTACTTTAGAAAGAAAACGCGAAAATACACTCAATTGTGTCATAATAGAGTGTTGCAACAATAAAATTTCAAAATGGCGCTGCGTTTACAAAACAATAAAATCAAGTGACCTATTTTAACTTCAACTAGTAACGAATTAAGTAATTTACTATTAATTTTATTATTAAGTCGTGTGGTTGTAATTAGATAATAAATATTTTACAACGAAATTCTTAATTTAAAAATCTATCCTCGTTAAGTTCCTCTTGAAGAAGGGATAAGAAAATCATTATATGAGTTCTCCCGCCCAGGGTAAGGAGAGAGAGAGTGTCAGACTCTTACTGACTAAAAACGCCGTTTCTTCTCCTGTTTTAACTTGCCTTTCTCTTCCCATGGGTACCATGTGAGAGGGAAAGACTACACATCTATAAGTACTAGTATTATAAAGAGGTGAAACTTGTAACTTTGTGTGTAAAGGTTAATCTTAACAACCGCTGGTCCGATTTCCAAAATTCTTTCACTGATAGATAGCTACAATGTTCCTGAGTGTTATAGGCTAGGCTAAAACGTCACCCTACGACCAATAGGCGACAAGCAGAGTGGAACCGCGCGGCAATAGCTAGTTGGAGATTCCTAATACGTAAAAATGTTTCTCTGATTAAGCTGTCTATGAAACCGAAAGTATTAAAATTGTTTGTGTTGTCTACCTAATTGTTGTTTCTGGTCTGGGTCTGATGTACATGTTTGTGAACGCCTCCACGAAACAGGAGAAAATTATAGATCCATAATATCTCCTACCCTATAACTCTCGTCAAAATTATGATAAAGGCTTGAGGCTCATAAGTCAAATTCACAGCATTTATTTCAAATAGACCAGTGGGCTCTTTTAAACGTCAAAAAATAGCAAAAAGTTCAACTTGGTGTGTGTCAGTCTGTCGGATATTGAATTTTTAGTCTATAGTGGCTTCAGATCCTGTCAGTAAAGATGTTTGTTATATTACAGAGTTATTAAAACAAATAGGTTATCATTCCAGCTTCAAAATACCGTTTCAGAATTTTAATAGACTAATAATGAAATCTGTTGCCCCCGACACAAAGAATACATTCAAATTAATCGGCCACAGTCAATTTATACAAATTGAAACTCATATAGTTTTAATATTTTCGTATCTAGACTCAATCCAGTGTTACTGAATAATAACGATCAATCAAGGTCAAACTTCACGCCTATTCTTTAACACAAAGCGTCGTAAAACTCAAACTATTTTCGTTATAATCGAATGAAAACCGATTTTATTTTATCACCATACTTCAATAATAGATAAGTACGCGCCTATATCATTCGTGCGATAGGTAACCGATAGCCAAAGCCAACACTACGCACCTGCTTGCTATATTATGTTGCACCCATTCCTCACAGTGCTGACAACTGTTAAACATTAAAATTTGAATTCGGATTCCAAAATGGCGGCCGGATTCATCGACAGGAAAATTCATCGTTATAGCGTGTGACCTTTTTTTTCAATCATCCTTATTTGTATGAACTTTAAGTATTTCGTTGGACCTACGTGGATTTTAGACGGTTTTAGTTATAGCAGACATATTTATTTTATTTTCCAAGTAAAGAATTATGAACATTTATTTTACTAACGTTTTTTTATTATTTGCCTCATCATTGTTAATTATCTCGTTTTGTAAGATTTTACAGTGTAATAACTTAGCAACTCGACGTCTTAAACATACGGTATACATATTATTGTACATAATTTTGTATTCAAGTATTTAAATGTACTTCACGCTCATTATTTCGAATAGGTTCTTTGAAGCTTACGTTGTTCAACGAAAACCATCGAAAATAGATATCGAATGAATCATTTTCAACAATTACATTGGCATTATTACACGAACCTGATCGATTAGTATTAGCAGCTGCGACTACTATTATTACAAATACGACTATTCCTGCTCACAACCTTCGAGAAATAACGAAGGCCAAATAAAAAAAATACTTGAAGAAATCTTACCTTCACCTTGAAATATTGGACCCAATATACGACCCATGGGAACTCCTTACATTTTTCTTATAGATTTTAAAGAAAAACAAGTACTCACCGTCGATAGCGTCATACAAAACAATATCGTTGCGGAGTACGTTCATAATATGTTTATCTGTGGCCTTCAACTTGACTCGTCCGGGCAACCGCCGACCTCGCTTACTTTCTGACTTTTAAATGTTTTGCCTTATCGAATTATCGTTATTGTTCGCTATCTTAACTGTTTTTCTCGTTCGTAGGATACATTTTAGACTTGTATCGCCTTTTTTGCTGGGAAAACTAAAAGGTTCCTTCTGCATTTCTGTTTTATTGTTTCAACATCGAAATATTTGAAAGTATTTTGTCATACTTTCAAATATTTCGATGAATTATATTTTACTCACAACCTTGAGTTGTTTAGGTACAATAAAATTTATCAAATCACTTGACTCTTCCTTAATAAATGCTACGATAAATATGGCGATTGTTTGTATTTACATCTGGTTTAGCCCGTTACGTTTATTATTTTAATTTTTTTCACAAACATTTGGTCTTAGAACTTATTGAAAACTTAATAAGAATATGGAATTAGTATTTTATTTAAGTCATACATATGTGTTTTTTTTTTCATTCTCAAGTTTTACGCTTTTGTTGGCCCCTATCTAACTCATATAAACCCTCACCCTCCTCATCCTCATTTCCGAACTTAAAAACGTCTTGCTGTATTACAATACATACCTCAATGACGTATTATATATAGACACGTCATGAACCAACATCGCGGCGCTTAAAAACGGCGAAAATACTAGATAACTACTTCTACGAGTAAAGAAAGGGAAAGAAAATAGTGGAATGCCTTTGCTAGAGGGAGATAAATATACATCTTCAGTTATGCCGACGGCACGTGACTATACCTTCATGCGCCGGCCGCCATAAGATGGCGGGCGCCGGCGTCGAAAAAAATAAAATAAAAATAGGTTGTTTGGTGAACTTACGCATGAAATGACACATTTTTGTCTTTAACTTTTGGAGTATAATTTGTACATCGTCTGAACACACACGACGACATGCTTTCTTTATGTTTCGCACAGGTTTACACACACGATATAAATTAAAAACAAACGTAGCGTCGCGCGGCAGGTTGGTGCGTAACTAAGCGCGATGTTGTCAATTGCCTTCATTTCATGTTGTCATTTTAGAGCGCGGACAACGTATCTATAGTTTTATACATCATTGACATACCTACGATCTGTGGTTTTCTGTTTACATTTATGTAGACATTGCATATGTTAGGTTTTTTTTTTTTTTTTTTTTGTGAGGGGAAAATCATCAAATGACTTCTCCCGCCCAGGGCCGGGCAGGAGGGAGTGTCAGACTCTTACTGACTAAAAACCCCCCTGTTCCTTCTCCTGCTCTGTGCCGAGGTCGCGGTACCTTATTGCGCTTACCCCGCAACCCCGGCTGAACATCAGCCCTTTAGGGCCCCGTCTGTGGTGGTCTATTGGCTCTTTGAGGCGCGCGCGGAACGCTACGCGCCGTACGCTCGGGCCTGGTTCTGGTCGGGCGGCGAGCTGCCCTTACTCGCCGACCGCAGGCCCGTACTTACGGTGGCCGGAGATCGTCCCTCGATCCCCGACGCCCGTAGTGTCGCCAGTTGCGGCTGCTGGGGCGTGAGGAGGAGGATTGCTCCCTCACGCGGGCCGCCTCTCTCTTTGCGAGCATGACTGCTTCACAAAAGGAGGAGACGGCGTCCCAGTTCCTCTCACTCCGCACCATGGCCTCGACTAAGGCCGGGCGCGAGAGGTCGCCGCCGCCGATCACTTCCCTGAGGATACGGCGGTGCTCAGCCCAGGCAGGGCATACCGCTACCGTATGCTCCACCGTATCCTCTAGGTGGTCCTCACAATGACGACACTCGGGCGTTTCCTCCCGCTGGCATATGTTAGGTTACAATTACAATTGTTGCACTAACTTGCCGACGTCAGTGAAACTCGATGCAGTGCAAGATGCAAATGTAGATACTATGTATTTAAAATATTTAATGCGACTTACTAGTGTTTTGTACCTTGAGTAAGAAGAAGACTGGTAGAGTTTAAATATACGCATGTTTTATAATCATATTGTTGGACAAGTAATTTTATTATTTTCATGTAAAAATCTTTCACAGACCCATTTTAATATATTTAATTATTTTTTAACTTACTTAGCTTTAATAATGTTATGTTTCTGCGTAAATGCTTATTGATGTTGTGGAAACTATTTTGGATTATGTTTAATTTACCTTTTGATTAAATATATATGTGTTTGTTATAAATAAAATTAATTGGCTCAAGTTTTGTAATTACGATTGAGAATAAATTTATCATTACCAAAACGATGTACTAATGAGCAGAACCTATTTATTAATTATTACCTTTCGACTTAATATCACGAGCATTCTCTGCTTCTGCTAATAGTTGTAATTTATTTAATTAATCTTCCCATTCTTTTGTCTTCAGGTAAAGAGGTACAAAAAAGATGGCGGTCGATCCGCGACTCCTACACAAAGACATACAGACAAGGCAAGTGTGTGCTGCCCGAACAGTGCCCTCCTGGAAGCAGACGGTACCAGTACCATCACCAGATGTCTTTCTTATTGAAAGCTTTGCAGAACAAGTGAGTACATATCCTTAAAAACAAAAAAAAAATATATTAAAATAATTTATTTGTTTGTACGGATAAACATAGTAAACAAAATAGTAATCATTGCACAACTTCAAAGAGTCTTTACACAAATTATTTTTTTGCCAAAGCCTTAGACAGTTCGTAGAAACCTGAAAGTCGATGATTACCTATCTTGACTATGCAAATAGAGAGAAGATTCTTATAAAAAAAATTTCGTTGTATGTCCATGTTATCTGAATTTGTATATCTCAGTGATATTTAGAATTGGGTTTTCACTCAGAGTTGACACCCCAAATTTAATCTGGAGTCCTATAAATTATTTGCTGTTATTAAGTTACTAAAGTACCTGTTAAGCGTCGCAAAGATAAACACTAATAACTTATTTTGTCCAAATTCCAGAAAACCGAGATATTCGCAAGACAAATATGAATCATTCTCGGAAATTTCAAACTCGCCGCAACATCCACCACCAGAAGATATCCCGAAAATCAAAAACGAAACTATGGACAAACCACTGGACCTCAAAACTAAACCAGAAGAAAGACCAGAGACACAAGACAAGTGCAACCAAGCAGACTGCATAGATAAACCAAATTCTCTAGAAATCAAAATAGACGCCAACTCTATACTTCCAGAAGACCATTTTGATGACGATCGATTGTTCATGAATTCATTAATACCATTATTCAAAAAAATGAACGATGATACAAGGTTACTGTGCAGGATTGAAGTTCTGAAGATAATCAGATACGCATTACAAGGTCACAAGTGTTTTGAGGCTCTCAAAGTGGCTGAAGATTCGTTTGTAAAGGACAGATTGAGTAATATACTGTCTAAAGACGAGAGCAACGTGTCTACGAGTACACAGAAGAGTCCGGAGTCCAAATTGGCAATGACTACCAGATCAGCTGATGGTAGCCGACCTGTCAGAAAACGAAGGGTAAGAGTTATTTAACCTCTTTTAAGCCTGTACTTGAATTTTGCCCTGTGTTTTAAACGCGATTTAGAACACTGTTTGGAACACTGGTATAATTGTTTTGCCATGCACAGTCCCGTTTTTGTCTTTGAATAAGCCTTTTTGTGAAGGCGACGACGGGGTGGGAGTGTTACTCAGACTCTTATTGACTAAACCCCCCATCCGTTCCTTCTCCTGCTATAGGCCGAGGCCGCGTTTATTTGGGTTTTCCCGCAACCCCGGCTGTTCCTTTAATAAGCCTAAGGACTAACTTTTGATATTTCATTTCACAAATATATTTTTCATATATCAAACACAATAAGCTTATGTTGAAGATTTCGAAATCGGAAAACTCAGTTACTTAACTTGACCTAAAGATCTAACCCTAGATTACATGTACGTAGTTAGTTACAATACAAAGTAAATTTCAATGAAAATTGAATACAAACGTACATTGACACAGGAAACCGGAAAGTAGTAATGATATGATCTGATAGGTATTCGTTAAGCAAAACTATAGAAAATATGGATAGAAGTTAAGAAAGAAGAATTGTAAAAGAAAAAAAGGTGTTTGTTACGTCAAATGATGATGAAGGGAAAATAACATCCAGTAAGTTAAAACATGGTGGCTTATTGGTATACGTACTCCATCGTATACCATCGTTTACAATCAGGCGTGATAGCGGCCAAATGACTGCCCTTTACTGAAAAAAAAAAACAAATAAAGAACAAGAAAAGGTAGACGCAAATGCATTTTATTACAAGCTCAACCAACTTACCAATTATTGTACATTTTTGAGGCTGTAGTTTGAAGCATTTATTTTCTTACACCGGGTTTCTAAAATGCCGATCAATGTTAAAATCAACTAACTAGGTGTCAAATCTCTTGTCAAGTCATCTGATTGGTTGTTAATGATTCAGTCAACCAATCAGATGACTTGACAAGAGATTAAATTGATTTTAACATTGATCGGCCTTTCGGAATCCTGGTGTAAGACTATGATTGATCAAGGGGTATTCGGAACTTTAATTAATTTACTCCGTAACCACCTAAGTCCCTCGAAGTTGTGAGAGTCAGCGCTATAGTAATATAAACCGGGCATTAATGCTCAAACCTTCTCCGTGCACGAAGAGGCTTATGCTCAGCAGTGGACACTTATAGGCTGATGATGAGATGAGATATGTATATTTATTTTCCGTCTCTTCTGTTCCAGGCTCGTTCGCCATCACCATTGCCGGTGCCAACGAAAAAGAGGGGGCCAGGGCGTCCCAGAAAGGTAAACATAACATCCATTCATGATATCTTGTAGGCCTTGTGCATCATCTTATAGTCTTCTAGAGCTTATATTTACAATAAGGCATATCCTCATTTTTACTTAACCACAGAATGACAGCATTATTTATTTAATCTTCGTTACTGTCTAAATCTAATCTACAAAGATACAGGCCAAATGCCTGACTATTACCGTCATATTTTTTTATGGGATAAGGCGGCAAATGAGTAGACAGCTTACCTGATGGAAATCTAATCGGCGCCGCACGTTGACACCCGCAACACCAAAGCCTTTGGGGCTAAAGGGTTACGGATATTTAAGGATTGGGGAGGGATAGGGGGTAGGGATTGGGCCTCCGGTAACGTCATTCACACGGCAAAACAACGCTGTGGTTGTTCCCACCGGTTTTCGGTGAGGCCGTGGTATCACTCCAGTCGGGTCGACCCATTCGTGCCGAAGCTTGGCTCTCCGCCACTTAGTTATAGAATCAGAATCAGTAACCATCTTGTACTTAATACCAATATATAGATTCTGATTAATAACCGCAACGCAATCTATGATGGCTCACCATCAGGTCATTAGTATTCTCTTAAAAATCCTTGTCACAATATTTTCTGAATGTTTCTAATTGTATCCACAGATAAGGCCGCCCCCCTCAGATTCTGACGAAGAACAGACAGCGAAGAAACGCCTGCCGAAGCTGAAAGTGTGCGAGTCTCCGTGCGAGGAGGACTCCTACAGCCACGTCACGAGCGTCGCACAACTCTCCACTCCAATGTTCATGAAGGTATGTATAATAATCTAAAGATTACAACCTGCCATTTAAGAGTTCCAAAGGGAAATTGGAAGTCCTATTTATTACTAAGATTTCATTGTTTGTCCGTCTGTTTGTTTTTTTTTTATGTGATTGTTGGCAAACGAGCATACGGATTACCTGATGGTAAGCAATAAGTACTGATTAATATCAATACCTGATGGTAAGACTGCACGGTTGGCGCGGTGGCTGGGTATCTGGCTGCCGCGCAAAGTGTCGCGGTTACGATTCCCGCACGGAACAACTCTTTGTGTGATCTACAAATTGTTGTAGGGTCAGGGTGTTATGTGTATGTGGAATTGTATGTTTGTGAACGCACCCACGACACAGGAGAAAATACAACTGTGGGGCAACGTTTTTAAAAAAAGGAAATGTAAAAAGAGTGCTGCCCATGTACACAAGCAACAACAGAGGAGTTAAGTTATAAAGGAGTTGGAGATTTAGGGATAGGGTAAGGATTGGGGAAGGGGAAAGATTGGGCCTCCGGTAACCTTAAACACACGGCGAAACACAACGCTGTGGTTGTTTCACGCCGGTTTTCTGTGAGGCCGTGGTATCACTCCGGTCGAGCCGACTTATTCGTGCCGAAGCACTTTGTTAAGACAAACAAAGGTTAACAATACCTGATGGTAAGACTGCACGATTGTTGCGGTGGCTGGGCAACTGGCTGCCGTGCAACATGTCGCGGGTTCGATTCCCGCACGGAACAACACTTTGTGCGATCCACAAATTGTTATTCTGGGTCTGGGTGTCATGTGTACGTGAAAGTGTATGTTTGTAACCGCACCCAAGACAAAGGAAAAATTCCTTAAGTGAGGCAACATTTTAAAAAAAAGTCAATCAATATTAATTTGATATTATTTTTTTCAGATATACAACTTGGAGAGGTCCAAAATCGCTCCCGCCTTACCGACGACGCCACCCATCCAAGTATCAATAAAAACAGAACCCGTAGATCCGGAACCACAACCCAGCTAAGCGAACACAACCTATTTCATATTTATAAAGGTAACATCATCAAACGCCAATCAGAATGCAGAAATATCACGCGACAATGGCCATAAGCCAATGAAAGCGTACTATTTTTCTAAGTATCAAGTAGGCTTTACGATACTTTAAGTATGTATGTATAATCTGTGGTTTTTATAACCTCAACTGTCAAAGAATTTATAATGTTGATTGATACAGGTATACCTACGCGCCTTTTTCTCTTGATTTTTTATGAATTGATGGTGATATTTTTAGTTATTTTTGTGAAAATTTATAGAACTTTGATTAACAGGAAAATTGTAGTATAAAGGGCATTTTTTCAATTCAATTCCCTTTACGTAAAAAGTAACGACTCGACCACCAATCGTACAGTTTTCGCAATTAATTGAAAGTATCATTGATCATTATTGTAATTGATTTATGAAAGAAATGGAAAATATATGCTCTTTATGTGTATTCCATTCATATTGTGTTAAAGATACAATAACGGTGTATACTGAAAAAATAATTGCTGTAAACTCATGTAAAAATCATAATTACGTGAGTGTTTTAAATAAAAAAAAATATAGTGAAACTCCTAAATTATTGACAGGGTCGTCGCAATCTGAAACACTGCAATTAACAAGAATTAAAATTAGAAGCCACATATAAATATGTTTGTCTGCCTGTCAGTTTTATGTAAAGCCACTTCACTATAGTTAAAGAACCTTACTCATAAGTTCCACTTGCGCTAAGGCAACGAAAAGTAATTATTCAAATACCTTGGTAGGCTTGATGTTTCGACCTGGTTGCACAGGTCGTGATCGCAAGCAGTCTGAGGATGCGATGTCACAGCTCCCTGCATTCGGGCGATTAATCTTCATCTACCCCTTTAATTTCATTTTCTACCATTGCTAGATGTATAAATAATATATTGTTAACATGAAACGCGAAAGTTTAGGAGTTAGTAAAGAAAATAATTGTCATAATATCAAAGCAAAAATATTATTAGAAATGTATCAAAATGGATGTGATTATTATATCTGTTCCTTCAAAAATAAATCGTGTTCAAAACTAATAGAAAATAAAGTCTATAAAAAGTTAAAATTCTTTGATGTTGAAAGATCTGTGTATTTAAATATATGATATGTTATCTGTTTTAAATATTGTATAGGTCTATGCTCATTTTACCATAGATTATTTTTAATCTGTGGTTTGACCTCATTGGTCGTGTGGTATCGGGAAAGCATTACCTGAAAAATGTGTCTGATGTTATTTGTACACAAATATTAAATAAGTCGTAACTTATGTGTTTAATATGTGTAACTGTTGTGTTATATTATACTTTAACTTTAAGTGGATGTTGATTTTTTTTCCACCTTTATTTTGTTCACTTACGGACATAATGCCCTACATTTTTCTTCTCTCATCAAAGATGCACATCTACATTCTGAACTAGGTTCTACTCCACTTTCGAGTTTCGCTCTTCACTTGAATTTTAATAACTGATCTAAAACATTAAGTTTCTTTTATCTATTTTCATATACTCTTATCTTGGCAGTCTTCTTTTTCTATTTCAAAATCTAAAGGAATATAAAATCAACATCTACCAAAAGTTTTTACGTTGATTGTAATGAATGAAATGTGATATAGATTTAGTTTCGTCATGTAATTATTATTAAGTTTATTCCTCCATAGTGAGAATTTCTGCACAATGCTGTTGGCCTATTTTTATGTCGATTATTACGCAGCGCAGAATGATCAAATTCGATCTCAAATTACGAGAATCTGTTTAAGTTTTCGATAAAAAAATAATCAGTCATTTGACAGTTACGAAGCAGCCATCTTGTTTTGGCGGGAGTTTTTTCTTCTGTGTACGTTTTGTTTTTTCTTTATTTTACAGCAATGATACAAATGAAAATGGTTTAGTTTAGTGTAAAAGAGCATTTTTTAGTTGTTAATTTAGTGTAAGTTTTAGTACATTGAGAATAAAGTTTTAAGGATCAGTTGGTCCCTGCAAAGATGATAATAATTGTTAAGTATAACATAAGTGATGTGTCACCATTAATCCTGATCGCCAGTACAGGTAAATTTTGTGTTGAACGCAATTACAATGTTAAAATAATAATTATGTAAAAGTGTTGTGTTACTTGTGTTATGTCCGTACATTCCTTAGTTAGGAATATTGTAAATATTGTGAGAAATATTGCGGATTGTATACCGTTGAAATAAATATCAATATTTTATAATATTTTTGTTTTATTTTGTGTATCGTTTTTCAAGATGTAGCCTTTTGGCAGATTTTGTTTCTTCCCTTTCTTCTACTATTCTCTTAAAGAAAAACAGAGTATTTTTATATATAGGTACTTTATTGTACACATTAATATAAATTCTACAAAGATCAAGCTTAAAACTATTCCTTCCAGACGATCTTTTAATTAAATATTAGCAATTCCAATAAAATATTAGCACCCTAAAACATTCCCTACCTACATACCCTAGAATATTCTTAAAAATTAGTTACCTAACAATTTATTTTTAAATTAATTCACTAAGTCAGTTAGAATGCAGTATATCATCGGCGGGCACAGTGATGCGTATGTCGCTGAAGGTGACTTGCAGGCCCTGCCTGGTGGGCGTGCAGCACATGGGTCCCACCACACAGGGGCCGCGCGTACAGCCCGGCAGCGGGCACAGTCTCAGCAGCGTCCACAGCTCCTTGTCTGCCGAGTACTTCACACACACCACGTCGCCTTTCCTCGACAGCCGGAGGTAGAACTTGCGCGGGTTGCCCGTAAACACGCCTGCAAATACAATTGCATACTTTACCAAGTTTCACCAACGAGGCAACCCTTGGTCATGTCAACAGATTTTTTTTAATTAATTTATTTATTTATTTATAACTTCAACAAAATAGTGTAACAGTACGAGACCAAGTCGTCTAATGCCCGGTTCCTATAATTGAGAAACGATCCGTTTTAGTTACGAATAGTAGTTTTATATACGACTCGTAAGCTAAAACCGTTCCTATAACAAACGTCTCGTAGTGCAACTTACTGACGGTTTGCAACTAACGGATGTCGGTAAGCGTATTGTATGGAGATCTATGGTGTCTGTGGTGTTCCTATAAATATTTTAACCGTCAGTAGACGGTCAAGATAACTATTCGTAATGTCATTTGGTCGTAATGCGTATACAACGACGATTCGTTAAATATAGGAACCGGGCATAAATGGTACCTTAAATTAAATTACAAACATTTATGAAAATCTAGAATATATACTTTACATTAAATTACATGCGTCAATGAGATTTTATTTTGCAATTATCTTAGTTATACAACTTACAATATTTAAGATACAATAAGAAATTTACCATGTTATGCTAAATATCATAATTTACATTTTGTTTAATCCCCTCCCCCATTCTTGCGTAAATCCGTTAGATTGTTATTTTAAAAAGAAAAAACTATTTGCTTTGTGCTTTTATTTACGACTAATAAACAAAATTGCTGAGGGTTCATATAAAAACAATGTTTTCATTTTCACCAGAAAAATATGCGTGATATTTTTCGATACCCTTTCCCCACGGAATAGCACAAAATGTATGCCAAAATATGTTAGTAAGCACAAAACTCAAAAACAGCTGGACCAGTTCAACCAGTTTTTAGTCAGTGTAAGTTTCTTAAGAAGGCAATTTTCACAAAAGAAAAGGGGATAGTTGAGAAATAAGGTACCTTTCTGTAAGATTAGATGAGATCTGATTCGGCTCCCAGGGCTAACTAACAAATTAATTTATTAAAAAGATGACTAAAATAGATCAATGCCCAATATTTTTTCCACGTACCTGTGCCCCAATCTGACCTCTCATTTGTTAGGACGCTGCCTATCATTGGCTGTCCATTCTGCATGTACTCAATGCCCGCCTTCAGCCAATGTTTGTCATCGAAGTATATCATGAGACCTGCTTGGTCGTACAGGTGAGTGAAGTCTGCTTCCACGCAAATCTGAAAAAAAATGTTAGTCATTGTTATGATAACAGACACATGACATCCCGAACTGGATACCAGCCTTCCTAATCACTTTCAAGTCGGCCAGTTGGAAGCAACTTGGAACTTGCTTTTTTTGGAAACTGAAAATCATTCAATGTCCTTTCCCGCCTGACAAGGCGAGAGAGAACGTCGAACTCTCACTGATTAAAAACTACTTTCTTATTTCTTCAGCTCCAAGCTGGTTCGCGGTGAATCCTGTTACGCTTACACATCAATATAGTTACCTCGTCTAATTGTAAAAAGGAACAAAACCTATGGGTATCATCAGCCATTTCAGCGGTTTCACCCGCTGCTCGGCTCCATTTGATCGTAGCGTTATGTTTTATAGCCTATAGCACTCAGGAACATTGTAGCTACCCATCAGTGAAAGAATTTTGGCAATCCGACCAGCGGTTCCAAAGATTACGCCCTACAAACAAACTTACAAATTTTACCTCTTTATAATATTAGTATATGTAATTATCATTTCACTAAATAAATTTAGGGATTTGTTCAAATCACTAGATTTGCTTAGGGAAATGATAAAAACGTGTTGTTATTTTAACATCCTCCGTGATTTGATCAAATCCCTTAGGGATTTGGCCAAATCCCTGATTTTATCATATCCCTGCGACATATATAACATTCTATTATCATCAATTTTGCATTGTTTGTGCGAAGCCGTAGCCGAGGCGGGTCGCTAGGTAAAATATATTAGGTAACTATTACTAAAACAGTCTTACCGTAAAACTAAAGTCATCTTTGATTTCGATTCCATAAAGATGTCCCGTTGTGTGATCCCGGTTACCCAGTGGTCCCTGCCAGTAATCGGATTTGTCGTCAGTCGTTACTTCAAGACTTTCGTTGGTGATTTTCCAATTTTTAGGTTCATTTCTCCATTTGAAATCATTAAGATTTATGTCGTTATATTTACTTGAATCCATTTTTGTATAACAACAGTTTTAAATAATAAAAGCTTGTTATGTAAGTATTGTCAGGTAGGTAGATATCAGTGAAGTAAATAATTTACAATCAATGCTCATGCTTTTTATATTTGTATCGTCTCTGTAATTTGTACGTGTCTCTTCTTTTATCTTATCAGAATAGCGTTGGTTCTCCGTTTTATAACTTCAATCTTATGAAGGGGAATCGGATGTGCATTAACAGAAAATCCATTTCATATGCTCTTACGGGCAGCAGTACCAACAACGCTGCTCTACGTGTCCAGATTGCACCACTCTACGAAGGTTGAGGAAATCGTAGAGTACGTGCGAGTCAAGACCGACAGGACCTTTAGGGTCGAGAAGTTCGAGTCACAACACGAACTTCAAGTCGTTCGTGGTGCGAGTTCCGACACACCATCTCGAGAAGTTCCTCAAGGAAGAGTTCTGGCTGAAGGGTGTCGTATATCGCCGGTTTCGTGGCCGCCTACATGACACTAGTCAGCGAAACATGTCGCCGACACTTCATGTGCTAGAGTTAAATATTATGTAATATATATTTATAGTATTTTTAAGTTTTATATTGTTTGTATAGTATTGTACTTATATGTTAATATGGGCCTTCGATCCCTGAAATAAACGGATAGGTAAAAAATGAATCTGATCAAATCTAAGATTCCTGAATGCAAAGCTATTTTCGTTAGAATGCTTGAAGTTTTGCGAGAGAGATGAGTTCAGCAAAAGTATTGTAAACATTGTATGTTATTATTTAATTTATGTATTTATATTAAGTTGTATATTGCCTAATAATTGAGTAGGTTTTGTACCGTAGTATTGAAATGCAAAAATAAACATTTCAAGTTTGTCTGTATTTGTGTGATTTCATTGAAAATAACGACTCTTTCGCGTGAATTAACTGAGGAAACATCTACTAGGAGGGACTTTGATTCAGAGTGCGCGTCGACGCGACACACGCGCGCCGCTTAACAAAATCCTGTAGTTGTTACCTATTTCCAATAAAAATTGTATGACTCACGATAGAAACTATTCACACAAAATGTGGCTATAGCATTTGATTTTTAATCCTGGATATTATTAATTATTAGGGCGAGTCATTATAATTATTTACCTACCAACCTCAAAAAAGAAAAACCTTTTTTCATACATTGGTTCTGTTTTTATAACCAAAAACGAAGCATTTAATATAAAATAAATTTATAAATCGATGTCACGCAAGGACGTTCTAGGGATGTGACGTAATGAACTAAGTAAACGTTGGAAATATAAACGTGTTTATTATGATATCAACAATAAGTCTAAATATATCTCAGTAGGTTACTAATTTATTGTGACAAAGTATTAAAAGTTACATCATTATCTTTAAATCCAAATAATGAAGGAGTAGGTACATAAAAATTGCGTGAGAGATTTTTTAAATTGTGCCTCCCCCTCCCCCCATCCCGGGGTCAATAATAATCTTAACACTTCTAACTAACTAAATAACTTTAAAAGAAAAAACGAGAATAGCTGTGGGGTATGAAAACACTAAGCTCTGACGAAAAATGTTTCTTTAAGGCGGGAAAAATCAATCAGTTTTACAACGCGCGCGAAATTTCCATAGACTAAAAATGTGTTTTTTTTTTCGGGCTTTTTGTTAATAACATTTTACCGCAAGTGTAAGCGTAACTCGGCGTTACTCAATAACAGTAATGAAAAAGTCACAGTTTGATTATATGTGTCATTGTAGGTATGCCTAATTGCCGTGGGATTAGAGCCACTTTAAGAGGAAGTGTGTTGAAAATAAATTTTAAACTCGAACAATTTATTTTACTTATAATAAAACTTTTCTTAAAAATCAGTTAGAATGCAGGATATCATCTGCGGGCACAGTGATGCGTATGTCGCTGAAGGTGACTTGCAGGCCCTGCCTGGTGGGCGTGCAGCACATGGGTCCCACCACACAGGGGCCGCGCGTACAGCCCGGCAGCGGGCACAGTCTCAGCAGCGTCCACAGCTCCTTGTCCGCCGAGTACTTCACACACACCACGTCGCCTTTCCTCGACAGCCGGAGGTAGAACTTGCGCGGGTTGCCCGTAAACACACCTACATAAAAAAAGAAAAAAAAACACAAATAAGTGATGACGCAATAATAAGGTTTGAGACACACTTCATTCATTTGACAGCACGCGACACGATACGACACGCCATGCAAGTCTGTCACTAACCTATTAATCTTAAGTGTGGGAGAGCCAGACAAATGGTTCAGCTCGACCGGAGGGATATCACGGCCTCATAGAAACCAGCGTGAAACAACCACAACGTTATGTTTAGCCGTGTGAGTGCGGTTACCGGGGGCCTTATCCTTCTCTCCCCCAATCCCAAATCGCCAAATCTGTAATCCCCAAAAGGTTGGCAACGCACTCACAACTTCTCCGTTGTTGCTGGTGTCTATGGGCGTCGTTGATTGCTTACCATCAGGTAATCCGTAAGCTCGTTTGCTGTTCTATCACATAAAAAAACTACAGAGAATGAATGAAACCCATAGGCTTAATTTATTCGACACGCCACAACACGGTAATAGGTATATTTCCGCCTTATTTTTTCCCAAACATACCTGTGCCCCAGTCAGATAGTTCATTGGTTAGCACACTGGCAACCATGGGCTGTCCATCATTGTACTCAATGCCTGCCTTCAGCCAATGTTTGTCGTCGAAGTATATCATGAGACCTGCTTGGTCGTACAGGTGAGTGAAGTCTGCTTCCACGCAAACCTGAAACACGCAATAAACGTAACGTGTCAACATGTGACGTGGCGTAATGGCGTCGAGTGTTGCTCGATATGACATTCAAATATTGTGTCCTGTCTTTCAGCTACTAACATTGCAGACATACCTCGAAGCGATAAAGTTCGACAGAACCATATCTATCCATCTGCCATACCACATGACGCTGGCAGAATAGTCAACTACTAAATAGTGGAGACTCTATTGCCATAACACAAAAATAAAAAAAGACATTCAAATACAATCGACTAACTTCTGCCCGCGGCTTCACGATAGCTCGATTAAAATATGCAAATCAAGTATAGTTTAGAGCCTGTAGCACAGAGGAACATTGCAGCTATCAAAGAAAGAATTTTGGAAATCCATTTGGAAAACAGCGGTTCCATAAATCTATCACCTACACCCACACAAATTTACGAATTTTACCTCTTTTAAAATTACTAAAGATAGGAAAAATCTGCTGTTGATCGAGTTGTCGCAAACAAAATCCAATACTTTCCAACTATACAAAGTTCAATACGTAATAAAACTCGATACATTCGAATCAAATCAAATGCCATAACGCCTAAGCCTAAGCTTAAGGGACAATGGACCCAAAAGACTGAGGTCTGACTCTCCCTTTCTCCTCGCCCAAGGTGAGAGAAGACATTTGACGATTTTCCTCATAAAAATAAAGTTGGGGCCCAATAGGGCCGATGTTTAACCAAGGTTGCAGGTCAAGCGCAATAAGAAACTGCGGCCTCAGTCTTTGGCAGGAGAAGAAACGAAACGAGTTTTTAGTCAGTAAGAGTCTGACACTCCCTCTCGCCTTACCATGGTCGAGAGAAGTCATTTGATGATTTTACTCTCAAAAACAGGTGGACCCAGTGGGACTGATGTACAACCAGAGTTGCGGAGCAAGCGCAATAAGGTATAACGGCCTCAACCTTGAACAGGAGAAGTAACGACAGGGCTTTTTAGTCAGTGAGAGTCTGCCAGTCCCTCCCGCCACAACCTGAACGAGAGAAGTATTTTGATGATTTTCCCAAAAAAATGTGGGGCCCAATAGAGCTGATGTTCAGCCGGAGTTGCGGGGAAAGCGCAATAAGGTACCGCAGCCTCGGCCTTTAGCAAGAGAAGAAACGAGGAATGTGTTAATTCTGTAAGACTGACTCTCCCTCTCGCTTTATCCTGCGAGAGACTCAGTAAATCACCAAAGACAATTTGTAAAAAGAAATCTTACCGTAAAAGTAAAATCATCCTTGAGTTCTACAGCAAACAGATGTCCGTTATTGTTAAATAAATTGTTTAATGTTCCTCTCCAATAATCAGTTTTGTCATCCGTCGTTACTTGAAGACTTTCATCCTTTATATTCCAATCTTTAGGCTCATTTGTCCATTTAAAATCTTTAAGTGTGATTTCGTTGTATTTACTGGAATCCATTGTTATGTTTAATTGTTAATTACTTTTTATTATTTAGGGTAGCTCAAATTGGTTGAGTACGGTCGAAGTGTTGATCTAGTGAATGATTAATGATCCTCACATCGACTTTTTATATTGTGTTTTCTCTTTGAATTCTTTTGGTGACGTGTTTTTGTACACGTTGTTTTCATCTACGTGTACCTACTGATTATTATCAGATTGTTATTTTATCTCGTATCTACAATTTATTATATACCTAACTATTGTTATTGATACAACAAATGATTATTTCATGAGTGATCTCTACTTATCTTATCATCTCGTTTAAATGATTAAATCCTATGTTTTTTTCTTAGGTAATGCCTATGTATACATTTATTTTTATGCATATTTCCGCACCATTTTTTTTTTGTGAGGGGAAAATCATCAAATTACTTCTCCCGCCCAGAGTAGGGCGAGAGGGAGTGTCGGACTCTTACTGAATAAAAACGCTCCCGTTCCTTCTCCTGCTCCGGTCCGAGGTCGCGGTGCCTCATTGCGCTTACCCCGCAACCCCGGCTGAACATCAGCCCTATAGGGCCCCGTCTGTAGTGGTCTATTGGCTTTTTTACGCGCCATACACTCTTCTGTTTCTGGTCGGGCGGCGAGCTACCCTGACTCGCCGTCCGCAGACCCGCGCTTACGGTGGCCGGAATGTCGTCTACTGCGGCGGCTGAAGCGTGAGGACGATAGTTCCCTCACGCGTTCCGCCTCCTCCTTTGCGAGCATCACTGCTTCGCAGAAAGAGGAGACGGCTTCCCAGTACCTCCCGCCACAAATCATGGCCTCGACTAAGGCCGAGCGCGAGAGGTCGCCGCCGGCAGCTTGTATGAGCATAAGAGTCCTGTTGTGGCTAAAATAAACCGAGAAATGCCCTACTAGTTTCTAGCAGAGGCATTAAGGAAAATTTCAAGTTAGATTACATTTTAAATTACTTCTCTCGTCCAGGGTAAGGCGAGAGGGAGTAGCAGATTCTTGCTAGCTTCAAACCCCCTTAAATTCTTCTTCTGCTCCAGGCCGAGGCCACTGGCCACGGTTATGTGTTTTAATTAGGTACGTTTGCTCCGTAACCCCAGCAGAACATCAGCCATCTCCTAGCCCATCTTTTTTTGAGGAGCTCATTGTGGCTCCATTTACTGGCCGAAGCAAATGACAAAAGACTGCACACTTGCTTATGTCAAGAGTCTTACTGACAAATCTTAATTACCTTGGACAATCGCAAAGCTCTACCAGATACTAGTACTAGTTTAGTAGCTTTTCTTGGTTTATTAATTTACGTTATTTTGTAATAAATTTAGTATATCTCACTGTTAGGAGGGAAACCTCTCGGAAGGTTTTAAAAAAACAATTTTACTTAATATCCTATATTAAACACTTAATTAATTATTACACTGAACTAGAATTAAAAATACAATTATGTATATTGGATATAGAACTAGCACGCTTAAGTGATGTGCTCGCGACGGGATCTCGAAGGGGACTGAGGCTAGAGAGATCTGGTATATCTCAATGGCAAAACTGCTGATGAGGCCCTTTTGCCATGAAGGGGGGATAACTGCTGATCATAAGGGGATTTTGTAGATTAATCATTTAAGGGTGCATTGGGCAATCGTAACAGCCCCCCGATTTAGAGTAAACTATACGTTTTAAGGTGTAGTTTACGGGAAATGAGAGAATATTAGAATTATCCAATTCGAAGAGCCGGGGCCGGTATACTTTGGGCGATTTCGATTTCGACGTCAGCTAGTTCGGGGTTGTTATTGATCCCCTGTTATTTCGATTAAAGGGATGTAATTTCTTAAGCGTGTCAGTTTTACATATTTTATATAAAAGATACAAAGTTGTCAAAATTAAAATTATAATAATTATAATGGAATAATAGTTACCATATTGGACGATATGGGGATTTATCGGTTTTTCAATAATTCTGTCTAAATTCTTTAACATTTCAGGATTATAAGCAACAGAGTCTAAGTTTACATTTTTCAAAGAAATAGGAGGTAAATTAGGTATCATGTTATTAAAACTTAATCTATTACAACATGAGTCATTAATTATATTTAGGTTTGTCTTAATAGGTTTTAGTAGGATATTAACATTATCCTGAGAAATCAATTGCGTGTCCTTACAATATGCTACACAACCTTGGGGTAAGTATAATATACCGCTACCACTTATGTCTATTTCATTGGTTTGTTTTACATTATTACATTCAATATTTAATTTGGATTTTTCTGACATTACATATAACCATTTATTATTTTGCAGGGTTTGCCAGATATTAACTTGGCCATGGAAAAATTTGGTTTTACATATCTCTGGAATCGAGGTTAGTACTTTGCTAATTATTTCTGTTTCACAGCAAGGAGTTGCGGCTACGGAGTAGGATATACGCACATCACATAGGTAATGATTACTGTTTATGATTTTGCAACCCCTTAATTCGTCAAGTTTACAATATGTTGATCTATCCTTAGTTATTGCGACATATTTGGAAGATGGAATAATGGTTGTAAAAGATACAGGGTTGTTGGCCTCGTAAGGTACTGGGCAAGGTAAGTTGTGATACAATGAAAAGCGTTGTGGTTTAACTAAAGGTATTTCAAGGACGAATACTATTTGGTCCTTGCTAAAATAACTAGATATAGAAGATATATTTAAAATAATATGTACATTATCAAGACATAGGAGAACAGGTAATTGTCTTGAATCCGAGATGAATCTGTAGTTATCCACTAATTGTGTATAGAGTTCTACAGGCGAAAGAATAGATGGATATAGAATGTTTGATTTACCAAACATGACTGAATTCATTATATCCTCGACCTTGAATGATAAAGCTAGGAGGCTATTTTCTAACATAGAAGTTAATTCTAAAATACGGGATCGTATTCCTAATTCTTTAGAAATATAAGTTAGGTTTTTTATATCTTCATATAGGGCGTCGATAGCAACATTTAGTTCATGTTCATTGGATTTGATTGTTTCTAGGGTGTTGTTGTAAGACTTAAGGGTGGAGGTAGTAACAAGAATATTTTCTTTCAATGTCGATGCTATTTTACTAGTATCAGTTTGAATTTCGTGAATTGCGTTATCGTACCGGATGGCATCTTCTTCATCCATAGTACCGAACAGTTTTTTGGACAAGGTTCCAATAACACCCAGAAGTGCAGATCTTTTTGTTTGATGAGACATGAGATAAGAGATGGCTTCGTTATCACGTTTAATATCTTGGAATCGAGTTAATAGAGGTAGAAAGAGATTATTACATTCTACATTATCGAGAACTTTACTTTCTTCGCATAGTGATTTTGAATTTTCAAGTATATAATGTAAATTAGTAATATGTGGATTAATAAATGATGTTTTTAAAGGAATTACTACACTAAGGTAACTATCAACTAAACTTAAAGATCCTATGGGGTCGAAGTAAATCCCAGAACTATTTGTTAAGGGTTTGATGAATTCTTGACCCGTTGAAAGTTTACTGAAAGGAAATAGAAAATAATGTGAGATAATTATAATTACTATGCTTACATACTAGTTACTTAAGATAAGGGTTTTATGTAATGGATCTAGGGGCTAGTTTCACTTCATCATAGTGATGAGTGACGTGTCGTCTATTAATTAGTAGAGTTAAAGTGTTGCGGCCATTAATTTTCACGACCTTATACGGCCCTTTCCAAACGGGTGATAGGGCTTTACGTAATCTTACGTGATTTTTCAGATAGACGTAGTCTCCTACTTTATATCGAACGGGACGAGAGTGGACATCGTAGTATTCCTTTGATTTTTCTTTCGATTTTTGGATGTTTTCAAGGGCTTTCTCCCTTGAGAGTTTTAATCGATGGTGCAGAAATTTAATATATTCAGGGTAAGTAGTTTGGGAATTGAATTCATATACGGAGTCAGGGATGAAGGCTTTATGGCCAAAGAGAAGCTCGTATGGGGTAAAATTAGTAGAGGCATGGACTGAAGTGTTATAAGCAAGCATAGCAGTATAAACATATTTATGCCAGTCTGTGTGGTTTTCGTTAACATAGGACTTAAGATATTCCTTGAGCGTGGAATGGCTGCGTTCAAGTGCGCCTTGGGTTTGTGGATGATAAGGGGATGACCAGATCTGTTTGATTTTTAGGAATTCACAGGTCTTCTTGAACATGTCTGCGGTGAAGTTGGTTCCTTGATCTGTAAGGATTATTCTTGGAATTCCGAATAAGGAAATGAAATGTACAAGGCATTCACATGTGTCCTCTGAAGTGGCGTTTGCAATAGGATACGCGAAAGAAAATTTGGTAAAGTCATCTTGCATAGTTAGGATGAACTTAAGTCTTGTTAGGCCTGCTTCCGGGAGTGGGCCTACGAGGTCCATGCTAAGGCGCTCGAAGGGTTTTGTGGATGTAGTGGTTATTTGCATGGGTGCGCGGTTAGTTTGCCTAAGGGCTTTGTTGGCTTGGCATTGTGAACAGTTTTTTATATATAGCTCGATATCTGATCGCATATTTTTCCAATGATATCTTTCTTTTATTCTATTTAACATGCGAGCCGTACCTAGATGTCCGGCGATAGGGATATCATGATTTTCCCGAAGGATTTTCTTTATTTCAGATGGAGTAGGAAATATTAACGAATTATGGTAAATGTCAATAGATATATTTGAGTTATTGAAGATATAGCAAAACATATTATATATTTTTGGCCAATCGTGTTTATCAAAGGGGTTACGGAAGTCGCTAATAGCCAAGGTTACGGTTTCTTCGCCTGGTATCGAGAGTAATTGGTGTTTTAGATTTATTAGGCTTTTATAGATGTCTTCATAAGAACAACTATCAAAGTGATAAACTTTTGTGAATAAGAAATAGAAATGCTTATTTTTATGTTCAAAGGATAAACAAGTAAACAGTGTCCTTTCTTTACTTAAGAGTTCTGAGGACACTTCGATTTCATTCAGAATTTCCTCTATATAAGGGTTAGCTGTATCG